CGTAATATGTGAACGACCCCTTAACACGTTTATTTTCTTTAGAATTGTAAAAATGAGGAGTTTATTCCTAGGGCTCCTCCTCTCCTTCTCTCCTTCTCTGCTTGTAAGTGCGTTTACTTACCCTGACGAATTCATACCGCGAGATAATCGTTTGACGAACATCCGGCATCTTGCGAGTACTGAAAGAGAACTTATCCTTAAACTGATAGACATTAAAGAAAGGCATCCTGATCCCGAAGGAGAACTAGATTTCTTCCTGGAGTTCCTACTCGCTGATTGCCGGTATCCTTTCGACGAGACCGTGGAATCAGTCATTCAGTCCCCTGTTGACAGGTTTAAAATTGTTGAGAGGTTTATCTATGATTGGCCGAATGTAGCTGAAGTGGTGGACAGTTTGGAGGTGGAGTATGATCTGGATGTCATGGCAGAGTTTGTTATTCACGTACCCCAGCTTCCGTCTTACTCGGATCTCATGGAATGTGTTCGGGAACTGAACGAAGCGGTGGCTGTTGACAGTCTGAAACCTTCTCAAAATGGCATGAAAACAGATGAAACTGATTTTAACACTGGTAACTACCTGATCTTATCGAATATTTCCCACGCTCTAGGTCACGTGAAGTCTTGTGTAGAGTGGGCTGATTTAGCTGACAGCGATCTTGTGCTGTCTGAGGAACCTTTCACAATCCCGGGGGAGCAGCACTGGCTCCATCAGTACCTTGTACATTTGGAGTGTTTGGTAAAGCTGGGGGAGGAGGACAAGGCTAAGGTGATCAGGGAGGAGATACTGACTCACTACAGTCATGATAATGAGGTTAAGAAGATAGTTAAAATGCTGTACAGAGGTAAAGGCAAGTTGCTTTCCAGGGACCGTGAAATAGACGCCTGCACTGAGAGGACTGTTCTCGATACTTACTGCTACTTGAACTGGGAGCATGATATATTCCAACCAATAAGAGTAGAGAAACTAGCAGGGATCCATATCATGCTGCACCGAGGAGTAGGGTACAGTGTTAGTTCACTAGGACGTGGGGTTAAGTCAGGGCAGGTACTGTTAGATAACAGCAGGGGACAGACTGCTGTTAGAGTTGTGTTGATTATTGGCAAGGGAACTATTGCTGTTGAACCTGGGGATGCCCTCCTCATCCCTCCCTCGCTCATCAGCCACGTGTGCGCAATGGCACATGGAACAATCGACGTTTACAGTGTATAATCTCTAGCTTTAATTTGCCATTACTCTTACTTTAGACGAATAAGTTATGATAATTTTGAGGACAAATACTTTTGTCTTACTATCACCACATCACTTGACGATGCCCCTTCTACGGACAATTTTTAACCATTCATTGATATAATGTACCTGAAAAATAAAGCTGCAGTAATGTCCGTGGATTATGAATAATATTGAAGGGGCTGTTAATAAATAGGGGGGGGCGGGGGCATATTAAAGTATATCTCCAGGATCAAATCGCATATAAACCTACAGTTTAATATACTTTAATGTAATACCTAAAATTAGATTAGCCATATTCTTCGTTTGGATTGGCAAGAAAAGCCTGTTAGATAGGTCTTGTAAGGTAACGTACATGAATTTTCATCCTGTTTGGACAAAAATTGCCGATTTATAATTATGAGCCAAAAATCATACGCCCATATTTGGGCATACGCACCAAATTTGATAGCTTTTGGCCCAATAATATATATATATACATACAAGGTAAGCCTAAACTAAATATTGTCTGTGATATAGCTCAATATCTGTTGAAAAGGCAAAAAATCAACTAAATTGCTCATATCTCGGTTCGCGATATTCGCGAAATTAGAGTGATTTCATTAACATTTAAATAACTAAATCAGTTTTCGATATTTTGTATGAACATTAAGTATATTAAAGTATATCCCGGGGTCAAATCGGCAACTAGCATACATTTCAATATACTTTAATATGGTTGTCCAATGTCCCCCCCCCCCCCCTCCACCTAAATGCCTGATTTTTCCAGGATCATGTTTCACATTTGTTTTTATAATTCAATGTAGAGTGATTTTTATTTTTATTGACTATCAATCAGTGATGCACGCCGCCGCCGGACGCCGCCGCGCCGGCACATTTTCACACGCCGCCATGCCGATACCTCTCAAGTCGGCGTGGCGTGAAAATTTTAAAAAATTTCAAGGCAAATTTTTTTGGACGATTGCAATTTAGAAAAATATAATTTTAGGGCACGCGCAGCCGGGCAAACTAGAGTTTTCTGATGGTAGCATTGATAATTGTAGTTCAGCGGTTGGATGTCGTATTTTATGGGGCTACTCGCTGCTATGAGGCCACTTCGTTACGTTCATCATCACATTCAGCCACGTTTTCGCCATAAACCACACTTATTACATCATTATTTCATGATCGCAAGTACGCCACAATTTTTGTGGGCCTGGAAATTCAAACCTAAATTTTGACAAAATTATGTTCCACGCCGCCGAACGCCGCCACGCCGGGCCATTTTGGGCACGCCGCCGCCGGTTGGCGAAAAATGAACCGGCGTGCATCACTGCTATCAATGACAATTTCTTGTTCAAATTATCTATACTACATTCTAAACATGACGAAATCGCCCGATAACGGCATAAAACCACAAAAACTTGACCAAAAGTGTCGCTCCTTTGAAACCAATTTCAGGTCGCGAATGGAGTTGAAATCTCGCGATTTTTAGCGGGGTTATACTTATAGAGAAGGATTATAGGTTCTTTTGCGATAGTCAAAACGCGACAACTAGCGCTGTCCAGCGCTAGTTGTCGCCATCCAGCGCTAGTGGTCGCTATCCAGCGCTGGATAACGCTGGCCAGCGCAAAATATATATGTTCGATAATTGTCGCTATCCAGCGCTAGTTGTCGCCATCCAGCGCTAGTTGTCGCCATCCAGCGCTAGTTGTCGCTGGCTATGCGACACTGTCGCACGCGACAGTTTGCGATGGCCAGCGCAACTGGCCATCGCAGAAAACAGTTCGATAACTAGCGCTGGATAGCGACATGTCGCTGCGACATGTCGCTGCGACAACTAGCGCTGGCCAGCGCTGGCCATCGATGTCCAGCGCAAAATTTTTGCGCTATTACTCGTCAGCTAGCCAGCGCTAGTTGTCGCTATCCAGCGCTAGCCAGCGCTAACCAGCGCTAGCCAGCGCTAGCCAGCGCTAACCAGCGCTAGCCAGCGCTAACCAGCGCTAGCCAGCGCTAGCCAGCGCTAGCCAGCGCTGGCCAGCGCTAGCTGACGAGTAATTTCAGTAATATCGCAACTATATTGCGCTGGCCAGCGCTGGCTGACGAGTAATACTAATATCGAGCGTGCCAAATTACTTTACAGTCGATCTTCGAGATTGTTCTAAAAGGGCCCACGATGGTTGTAACCAACTTGAAACTTCAATCGATGTATTTTCGGACGCTAATTTCGAATCAACCCCGGCCCCATGGGCCCATGACATAGGGTTAAAATGCTCTCCTGACGAGATATTGGCGAAAAACTGTACATGTATCGATCACGTGATATGACCGTATAAGGAAGTTAGTCTAATTTCTCGTTATTGTTAGGGTTTCAGCATATGTTTTTGTTAAGGATTAGGTTAGGGTTAGGGTTGGGATCAAATTAGAGGGTTAGGGTTTCGAAAAGTCGTTCAGAACCAGCTAGAGTCAGAGAATGGGTTAAAAAGTCACGTGACAGTCGAGTGTAAAGTGATTAATCATCATCCGAGTAATATATGATTTTGATACATTGCGCTGGCTAGCGCTGGCTACCGCTGGCTAACGCTGGCTAGCGCTGGATAGCGACAACTAGCGCTGGCTAGCGCTGGCCAGCGCCAGCTGACGAGTAATAGCGCAAAAATTTTGCGCTGGATATCGATGGCCAGCGCTGGCTATCGCTTAGCGCTGGCCAGCGCTAGTTGTCGCTATCCATCGCTAGTTGTCGCTATCCAGCGCTAGTTATCGAACTGTTTTCTGCGATTGCCAATTGCGCTGGCCATCGCAAACTATCGCGTGCGACAGTGTCGCATAGCCAGCGACAACTAGCGCTGGATAGCGACAACTAGCGCTGGATAGCGACAACTAGCGCTGGATGGCGACAACTAGCGCTGGATGGCGACAACTAGCGCTGGATAGCGACAATTATCAAACATATATATGGCCAGTTGCGCTGGCCATCGCAAACTATCGCGTGCGACAGTGTCGCATAGCCAGCGACAACTAGCGCTGGCCAGCGTTATCCAGCGCTGGATAGCGACAACTAGCGCTGGATGGCGACAACTAGCGCTGGATAGCGCTAGTTGTCGCCATCCAGCGCTAGTTGTCGCGTTTTGACTATCGCAAAAGAACCGGATTATATCCAAAGGACAAAGCATTTTTAGAATTTGATTAATGCCTTAATTTTTTGGTAAATACCGTTGGAAGTGAGTGAAAATAGACGTTACAATAAAAACGCAACTTCTAGTAATTGTTACTGCGTCGTTGTTTAGCAACTTCAAAAGATTGCACGTGCGCGAGCAAGTACAGGCCATAGAAAATGCGCGTTTTCATGCCTTATGACTAACTCACATTTACTCTCACATTATGACTTTAACCATAACTTAAAACGTTGGCCTTGATTAATATTTCTTCATGCAGAAAAAGTATCGATTAGGGAATGCTTAGAAATTTGTCGTCAACGTCAAATAAATCCATACTTTTTGCAGTTTGACGGGGGGGGGGGGCAATGGCATAAAATGGAGAATTACCCTAAGGTATTTCCATTTTCTCCATAGAAAAAGTCTCCATTTTATGCCAATAATGAAATTAAAAACCAGTGTTTACACTGAAATATTGTATAATTTGTCACGTTCTTTAACATAATAGGTATGCAGAGTCAGCAATATAATGGATTTCCTTTGATTTTGCCAATTAGATTGTATTTTGACGATGAGGTTACAGCCCAAATTATTATTAGTTATTGTTAATTTTACGTGCTTACATTTCCTATTTTCAGGACTATACGACAAGACGGTTGACATCTATGCGTTTGGTATTATATTCTGGTATCTATGTAGTGGCCGAGCTGAGAGACCCAAAAACTTCAACTGCCGCACATTCCCAGAGCTACAGGTTACAATAATTTTTTAAAAATAGAGGGAGCCGGGGTGCTACAGGTTACAATAATTACTAAAGACTAGAGGGAGCCGGGGTGCTACAGGTTACAATAATTAATAAAGACTAGAGGGAGCCGGGGTGCTACAGGTTACAATAATTACTAAAGACTAGAGGGATCCGGGGTGCTACAGGTTACAATAATTACTAAAGACTAGAGGGAGCCGGGGTGCTACAGGTTACAATAATTAATAAAGACTAGAGGGAGCCGGGGTGCTACAGGTTACAATAATTACTAAAGACTAGAGGGATCCGGGGTGCTACAGGTTACAATAATTACTAAAGACTAGAGGGAGCCGGGGTGCTACAGGTTACAATAATTAATAAAGACTAGAGGGAGCCGGGGTGCTACAGGTTACAATAATTAATAAAGACTAGAGGGAGCCGGGGTGCTACAGGTTACAATAATTACTAAAGACTAGAGGGATCCGGGGTGCTACAGGTTACAATAATTAATAAAGACTAGAGGGAGCCGGGGTGCTACAGGTTACAATAATTACTAAAGACTAGAGGGATCCGGGGTGCTACAGGTTACAATAATTACTAAAGACTAGAGGGATCCGGGGTGCTACAGGTTACAATAATTACTAAAGACTAGAGGGAGCCGGGGTGCTACAGGTTACAATAATTAATAAAGACTAGAGGGAGCCGGGGTGCTACAGGTTACAATAATTACTAAAGACTAGAGGGAGCCGGGGTGCTACAGGTTACAATAATTACTAAAGACTAGAGGGAGCCGGGGTGCTGCAGGTTACAATAATTACTAGAGACTAGACGGAGCCGGGGTGCTACAGGTTAAAATAATTACTAAAGACTAGAGGGAGCCGGGGTGCTACAGGTTACAATAATTACTAAAGACTAGAGGGAGCCGGGGTGCTGCAGGTTACAATAATTACTAAAGACTAGAGGGAGCTGGGGTGCTACAGGTTACAATAATTACTAAAGACTAGAGGGAGCCGGGGTGCTACAGGTTACAATAATTACTAAAGACTAGAGGGAGCCGGGGTGCTACAGGTTACAATAATTACTAGAGACTAGAGGGAGCCGGGGTGCTGCAGGTTACAATAATTACTGAAGACTAGACGGAGCCGGGGTGCTACAGGTTACAATAATTACTAAAGACTAGAGGGATCCGGGGTGCTACAGGTTACAATAATTACTAAAGACTAGAGGGATCCGGGGTGCTACAGGTTACAATAATTACTAAAGACTAGAGGGAGCCGGGGTGCTACAGGTTACAATAATTACTAAAGACTAGAGGGAGCCGGGGTGCTGCAGGTTACAATAATTACTAAAGACTAGAGGGATCCGGGGTGCTACAGGTTACAATAATTACTAAAGACTAGAGGGAGCCGGGGTGCTGCAGGTTACAATAATTACTAAAGACTAGAGGGAGCCGGGGTGCTGCAGGTTACAATAATTACTAAAGACTAGAGGGAGCCGGGGTGCTACAGGTTACAATAATTACTAAAGACTAGAGGGAGCCGGGGTGCTACAGGTTACAATAATTACTAAAGACTAGAGGGAGCCGGGGTGCTACAGGTTACAATAATTACTAAAGACTAGAGGGAGCCGGGGTGCTACAGGTTACAATAATTACTAAAGACTAGAGGGAGCCGGGGTGCTACAGGTTACAATAATTACTAAAGACTAGAGGGAGCCGGGGTGCTACAGGTTACAATAATTACTAAAGACTAGAGGGAGCCGGGGTGCTACAGGTTACAATAATTACTAAAGACTAGAGGGAGCCGGGGTGCTACAGGTTACAATAATTACTAAAGACTAGAGGGAGCCGGGGTGCTACAGGTTACAATAATTACTAAAGACTAGAGGGAGCCGGGGTGCTACAGGTTACAATAATTACTAAAGACTAGAGGGAGCCGGGGTGCTGCAGGTTACAATAATTACTAAAGACTAGAGGGAGCCGGGGTGCTGCAGGTTACAACAATTACTAAAGACTAGAGGGAGCCGGGGTGCTGCAGGTTACAACAATTACTAAAGACTAGAGGGAGCCGGGGTGCTACAGGTTACAATAATTACTAAAGATTAGAGGGAGCCGGGGTGCTACAGGTTACAATAATTACTAAAGACTAGAGGGAGCCGGGGTGCTACAGGTTACAATAATTACTAAAGACTAGAGGGAGCAGGGGTGCTACAGGTTACAATAATTACTAAAGACTAGAGGGAGCAGGGGTGCTGCAGGTTACAATAATTACTAAAGACTAGAGGGAGCCGGGGTGCTGCAGGTTACAATAATTACTAAAGACTAGAGGGAGCCGGGGTGCTACAGGTTACAATCTTACTATATATAAAGCGAGACGATAAATATATATATATTTATCTGTGCCATTTTACTGACACCACGGCATCAACTTTAACGCGAATTTCTGCAAAAACCGTCAAAGATATACAACTGAATCTTTTTTGACTGGGTCAAATGCTTTAATGGCCTCCAAATCAGCATGAAAAAATAAAAAATTGGCCAAGAAATAGGAGTTTTAGAGCCCAAAATTTGGTACCCCAAGTGGTGTCAAAAACGCGAATTAAATAGGTAATAATTGTTTTAGTCTCTTGAGTCTTGACACCATTTTAGGGTTAGACGGGTTCCTGCTAGTAATTACTAAAGACTAGAGGGAGCCGGGCTGCTACAGGTTACAATAATTACTAAAGACTAGAGGGAGCCGGGGTGCTACAGGTTACAATAATTACTAAAGACTAGAGGGAGCCGGGGTGCTGCAGGTTACAATAATTACTAAAGACTAGAGGGAGCCGGGGTGCTACAGGTTACAATAATTACTAAAGACTAGAGGGAGCCGGGGTGCTACAGGTTACAATAATTACTAAAGACTAGAGGGAGCCGGGGTGCTACAGGTTACAATAATTACTAAAGACTAGAGGGAGCCGGGGTGCTACAGGTTACAATAATTACTAAAGACTAGAGGGATCCGGGGTGCTGCAGGTTACAATAATTACTAAAGACTAGAGGGAGCCGGGGTGCTGCAGGTTACAATAATTACTAAAGACTAGAGGGAGCCGGGGTGCTACAGGTTACAATAATTACTAAAGACTAGAGGGAGCCGGGGTGCTGCAGGTTACTAGAGGGAGCCGGGAAGGGGGTTACAGGTTACAATCTTTTATCTTACTATATATAGAGCAGGGACAAAAGGATTTCGCGGCATGTACGAAACCGCGAAATTTCCCATTCTCCGCGACAAATCGCGATTTTTTACGTTTTCCGCGAAAGATCGCGAAATTTCCCATTCTCCGCGACAAATCGCGATTTTTTCAGTCCTCCGCGAAAAACCGCGCATTTTCCTTTAAATCTGAAGACCAAATTTGCGCATTTTCATTTAAATCTGAGGACCAAGCTTCCGAGCTCGTATTGCGAAGGAAGGCCTGCCTTCCGAGATCGCATTACAAGGGGAGCCCTCGAGTCCAAAATCGTGTATCGAAGCGTGTGTGACCTTTGAAAACCGAAAAAAAATATTTTCGGCTCATAATGATCAGGGTAGCCTGAAACATGAACAAAAGTAGTTTCCAGAAAAACTTTGAAAAATTTTGACTTAGAAAATTTTCGGTCCGAGTCATTCTCGATACGTACCTTTGAAGGCGGAGCTCCCGCTTCCAAGCTCGTATTGCTAAGGGGAGGCCTGCCTTCCGGGATCGCATTACGAGGGGAGCCCTCGAGTCCAAAATCGTGTATCGAAGGGTATGGTGAACTTTGAAAACCGAAAAAAATATTTTCGGCTCATAATGATCAGGGTAGCATGAAACATGAACAAAAGTAGTTTCCAGAAAAACTTTGAAAAATTTTGACTTAGAAAATTTTCGGTCCGAGTCATTCTCGATACGTACCTCTGAAGGCGGAGCTCCCGCTTCCGAGCTCGTATTGCGAAGGGGAGGCCTGCCTTCCGAGATCGCATTACAAGGGGAGCCCTCGAGCCCAAAATCGTGTATCGAAGGGTATGTTGAACTTTGAAAACCGAAAAAATATTTTCGGCTCATAATGATCAGGATAGCATGAAACATGAACAAAAGTAGTTTCCAGAAAAACTTTGAAAAATTTTGACTTAGAAAATTTTCTGTCCGAGTCATTCTCGATACGTACCTCTGAAGGCGGGGCTCCCGCTTTCGAGCTCGTATTGCGAAGGGGAGGCCTGCCTTCCCTTATCGTATATGGAAGTTGACCAGTAGACATATAAAATTAAAACTTGACCAGACGACATAAAGTTGACCAGTAGACATATACAACTTGACCAGACGACATAAAGTTGACCAAACGACATATAAAACTTGACCAAACGACATAAAGTTGACCAGACGACATAAAGTTGACCAGTAGACATAAAAAACTTGACCAAACGACATAAAGTTGACCAGAAGACATACAATGGATTAAGAAATCGAACAGTATGTTAAATCAGTGTTGTTATTGAATCGTCACTTGTCAGATATTTCGTCATCGATAACGTCATCGTTATTCGCTTGGTATTGTATTCGCTTGTTATAATGGACCGCTTTGTCAAACGGCCTGCCGACAAACCGGCTGGACCTTCGTCTAGCAAACGCTCGAAACAGGCTAAACAGGGCAATGTAACAGCTTCCACGGGAGTGGCTGAATTTGGCAAATCATCGTTTTATGCTGACAATGGGAAGCTATTTTGTAGAGCATGTAATCTCGTCGTAGACCACATAAGGAACAATCATGGGCTTCCCTCGGGATGTGGTTAGAACTTCTAAAAGGTTCGTGCAGGGGGCCGGGGTAAGGATTTCGTCCAGGTTGATGTAAGCTTCAAGGGGTAGAGGTTGGATACTAGATGGGGATAGGTTGGATACTAGATGGGGATAGGTAGGGATATGGGAATTGGATTGAAAAGTTCGTAGTATTCCATTGCTATAGTTGTGAAGTGTAGATGGTCGAATGATGATGTCTCCTGTCGTCTGTTGAAAGTTATATA